ACACCTGTGTCGTGCAATGCCTGCGGAGGTCAGAAGAGGCTGTCAGATCCTCTGGGACTGGAGTTACGGACAGTTGTTAGCTGCCATGTGGGTGCTGGGATTCGAACCTGGGTGTTCTGCAAGAACAACCAGTGTTCTTAACCACTGAGCCATCTTTCCAGCCCTAGTTCCTGATAATTTATGTCTATAATATTTCCCATTGTTTTCCATTTGTCTTACTTTTGCCCCTTTTCTTCCTTATTTTAAATCAGTCAAGTATTTTCATTATTCCATTTTTCCCCTCTGAATTTAAAGAAAATATTTTGATACATAAGATGGTTAATATGGTAAATTTTATGTTATGTGTGCTGTTCGCTAGTTTTAAATACACTCACCTTATTGTGCCATCAATCTCCATAATGCCTTTTATTTTAAGAAACTGAAACTCTACATGCATTAAACAACTTCCCATTTGCTGGGCTTCCAACCCCTCGAGACTGCCCTTTACTTTCTGTCTCTACAAAATCAACTACTTTAGGCATATTATGTAAAGAGAATCATATAGTACTGACATTTTTCTAATTTGTTTTTAATGTATGTACATGTTCATATGTATGTATTCATTTGTGTGTGCGTGTATGCCCATGCATAGAAGGCCAGAGGTGAATGTCACTGTCTTTCTCAATTGCATTCAGCTTATTTATTTATAATTAGCATACAAAGTTCAAATTTGTTTTAGTTGGTTCCCTCCTCCTCCCCCATTCCTCTGCCTCCCCTACACTCTCAACTCCTTTTCAATTTCATGCCACATGTCTCCTTTTGTTCATCCCTTTTTCTTTTTTCTTTTTTTGGACTTTTTAAGGCAAGTTCTCCCTGTAGTCCCAGCTGGCCTCAGTCTCACAAAGTTCCACCTGCTTCTGCCTCCTGAGCGCTGGGATTAAAGGCATGTACCATCATGCCTGATTTTATTATTTCTTAAAGATTTATTTTTTGTGTGTACCTGTGCGTGTTTATGTGTCTGACACATATGTGTGGATGCCTGAGGAGGCCAAAAGAGGGTGCTGGATCCCCTGGAGCAGGATTCATAGGCAGTTGTGAACTGCCTGGTGTAGGTGCTGGGAACTGAATCAGGTCCTCTGGAAGAGCAGCAAATGCTCTTAACCACTGAGCCATCTCTCCAACCTCCTTATCCAATTTATATATTACAAACTATGATCCACATCTATGACAGAAGATGAAGTTTTAGTCTTTCTAAATTTGGGTCACCTTGCTTAATATAATATTTTCCAGATCCACCCATGACCCTGAAAACTTCATAATTTAATTTTCCTATATAGCTGAGTGAAATTCTATTGTGTATACCTACCACTATTTCATTGTCCATTCATCTATTGATGGTCATTAAATTTGTTTCATTTTCTTGCTATTGTAAATAGAGCAGCAATAAACATGGATGTACAAATATCTCTATGGTTGGGATATGGACTCCTTTAGTATATGCCCAAGATTCACCTTCTTTTTTGAGACATGGACTCTTGCTGAGCTGGGAGGCTGCTGATGTAACTAGACTGGTTAGCCAATGAGCCCCCTGGGTCCTGTTGTCTACCTCTTCCCCGTGCTTAGATGACAGGTGTGAGCTGCCATACTCAGCTTTTTAAGTGTTGTGGATTCAAACTCAGATAAGCATGGTAAGCACTTATCAACTGAACCATCACACTAGGACTCCTTAACTTAATTAAAACATTTTATTGCATTTATTTATTTATTATTTATTTACTTATTTAGGGGGCACAAGTACTACGGCACACACATGGGGTCAGATGACAATTTGCAGGAGCTGGTTCTTTCCTTCACTATGTGAGTTCTGGGGATGGAACTCAGGTCATCAGGCTTTGCAGCAAGCACCTAATCACATGAGCCATCTCACCAGTCCTTAAATATTTTTGAAGGAAAATAATTTGCCTCTTTGGGTAAATCACAAATTCTTCCTCCTCCTCCTCTTCCTCTTCCTCCTCCTCTTCTTCAGTCACATGCCTCCCAATACTGATATGTGTATGCTGGTTATTTCCTCTGCCTGGAGTCCCTTTCTCATCATCTCTCTTTCTCTGAAGTACTGGAATTCAAACCCAGGGCCTTGGATATGCCAGGCAAGCATTCTAACACTACAGCTCCAATTGCAACTCTCTCCCCTCGATTTTAAAGACAAGGTCTTCCTAGGTTGCTTTGGCTCAAACTTGTGATCCTTCTGCCCCAGCCTCCTGAGTAACCTGGGGCAATAGGCATGCACCACCATGCTTGTAACATACTGGTAATTATGCCCTTTCCTGTGTCTCCCAAAGCAGTTGGCACATCTATGCATCGTTGTATATTTTCTTCCAAAAGTAAATCTTGACACTCTGTTTCCTCTGAAATACAGAATTCCTCATGGTTTGGGAGAATGCCTGGCATATCCCTGCATTCCCCAGTGTGCCTGGATCAGAACAGGTATTTGGAAAAGTTAATTGGATAAATGAAAATAAATTGGAGCAATATATCCTACACACTCATTCAAGAAATATTGATTTTGGGGCTGGATGGCTCAGCACTTAGGAGCACTGACTGCTTTTGCAGAGGACAGGGGTTTGATTCCCAGCACCCACATGGCTGCTACGAGTGGTCCTTAACTCCAGTTTCAGGGGAATCCGAAGCCCTCTTCTGACCTCTGGGGCACTGCACGACAAGACTGCACTCATGTACATGCAGGCAATACACTCATACACATAAAATAATATGTTAAAAAAAGAAATATTGATTTCCTGAACATGCTAGCCCATGTTCCAGATGATGAAGATGAACCAAACATTCCTGCCCTCGGGGACACTAAGGACAACACTGAAGTCAAAGGATTAGGGAGTATGGAGACAGAACACGAGGAAATTGTGTGATAAGAGGTCTGGACTTGGTATTTTAGTAGAGCATTTAGGAAAATCCATCTAAGGAGGTAACTTTTGAGTAGAAATTTGGAGTAAAGACACCTATCTTTCTGATACCCAGGAGAAGACATACTAAGTGCAAAGGTTCTAAGACAGTGGTAGCCTCCATGTTCCAGGAACAGGGAGGAGGCTAGTGTGGCTGGCTGAGGAATGAGGGAGTAAAATAGGAGATGCAGTTAGAAGAAAGGGCAGATTACATGGGATCTAGGAGTCCCTGGAATAAAGGCTTTTGGTTTTCACTCTGCAAAATATGGGAAGAGGAAAGGAAGGTATTTTGACTTGGGTTCAAACAGGCTCTCTGTGGCTTCCATGTTGAGCACAGGGTGGAATGAGGGAGAACAGGTAGGAAAGAGACTATTGCATTCCAGGGAAGACAAGAGGACAGACTTTTAATGGTAGAGCTGGCAGGCTGGCTAATGGATTGCACATGGGTATGATTAGGAAGAGAGTAAAAGATGAATGTAATGGTTTTAAAAATGCTTGAGTTGACATTAAGTATGATGGGAAAGATTATGCAGGGAGCAAATTAAGGTGCAAATTCCAGTGCTTGACTCTGGACATGTTGAGTTTGACACAGCCTTCACACTTAACATAAAAGATCACCGACTAAGTAGTCGGCCTTTTTATTTTATTTTGTGCTTTGAGAGAAGGTCTTACTATGTAGTCAAGGCTGGTCTGGAACTTGCTGCGTGACCCAGCTGGCTTCAGACTTGCCTCTTTATGAGTGCTGAGACTGCAGGTGTACTCCGCTGTCAATTCACTTATTAGACATCTAGACATGGTGCAGAAAGTTTTATCTAGACTATGATTTCATCCTTTCCTTCATCCTATACTTCTAATACTGCCTTTTTCCGTCCAAAGCCACTCAGCCCATTACTCTGGTAATTAATGCAAATTGGGGCTTGGGACCCAGTGTGTGAGTCTTCAGAACTCTATTTATTAATCAGAGTGTTCTAAAAGCGAGGACTTCCGGGGTGTATCTGCCACAGATTTGGGTTCTGATACAAAAAAAGGGCCTGAACCGTGTGACAAGAATTCATCCCACGCCAGCAAGAGAGCCTAATTGGAGCCACAGGAATTGGAGCTTGGAAGCTCGAGTACCATAAGAGTACCACATACTATTTATAGTGTTGTGGAAGCGGTGATCCAAAGTTTGTTCGGCTATTATTTCTAATAAACAAGAAGATATCCAAACCTGCAGTGAAACTTTGCCCGTGTTACAGAGAAGACCAACAATTCCCAAGCAAAGCTCGTTTGGAAACAGTGCCCTGAGGAGAGCGGGAGCACGGGTTCAGGGCCCTTGCCCAGTCCACATCCTTTTGAAACCGTAACCTCGTGTGGCCTTCCTTAGGTGGTCCTCTGGAAAAACCAGGATGTGGAATACAAAAGCCGGAGAGCGCAGGGGCCGCGGCATCCGCCTGGGTGTCCGCCTCTCGGGTCCTCATTCTGGATCCACGCGAACGCTGGCGGCTGCCTGCGCATGCGCACAGGGGTAAGGTCAGCTCTGGGCGACGTCAGGGGGGTCGCGCTCGCACTAAAGCCCCGCCCCATGCCGAACGCCTCCGAACGCTGCCGAGCTCAGCCGAGCGGCCCGGAGTCGGTTGGTGCAGTTGCGCCCCCGCCGCTGAAGCAGTCTGCGGCTCTGGCGTCGCCGCCGCCGCCGCCGC